CTGCACTGGTTCATAGCGCTACCAGTGCTCCTACCGGTGGCCATGGTAACATCAAGGTATTACTGATGTACTTTGTTATGGCGACGTTGCTAGTTCGGCCTCTCGTGCGCGGACGTTTCAGCCCCACTTACTGCACTTTTGCCTATTTTAGGTGACTGATGAGCGGATTTCCAAGTTAATGGCGGCAATAGAAGACTTACTGGGCCAGCTTGATTCCTGTCCGGAGACTGTCTCCGTGTATTTGGCGAACACGAAGAGGAAGTTGGATCAGCTTAACAAGGCTGAAGATTAGTTCCCCATCCTCTCTCCCGCATCTCATACTCCTCCGCATTTGGAAATCCACACCGCTGATCCCTATACCCATCGAAGAGGGAGAAGAAGAAAACCTGATTTCAAAGCCCTCTATTGATCATGATCTGCAAACTGCCACCCCCTTTCCGGCGTCGTATTCCTCATGGCGCCGTACCGCCCGGCGACCTATCGCTTACCACTTTACTTTTGGTTTAATCGACTCCTTCTTTTTTGTCCGAGCCCCTCCCCCGTTGCCAGCGATCCCTGTTTTCCAGTTAAATTTAAATTACTTGTGCAGTGACTTTAAAGAACATGATTTATGCCTATCCATATGCGTCAAATTCAGAATAAAGACTCAGAAGCGGACTTCATACAACAGATCCCCAGCCAGAGTTTTTTTGACTGTTGTGTTTCCCACGAAGAGCGACAATGACCAGTTTCCAAATCTCAACTCGGAGTGATGTGAGCGAGAGGAGAGCCTTTGCTTGAGGACACAGCCGCTTGGTAGTGAGCACTAGTTGAAATGTTGCGCGAGTTCTAGGTGACGGGACCGACGACTGCTGCAATGTCCCGTCAAGTATGAGTGACGTTGTGCCAAACATTCGCGCTTTGATCGCTATTCGGTCTGCCAGGGCATCTGTGGGATGCTCATTGTCACGCTATGTGACGACGACACATGACCAGCTACTATCCAGGATGTATATTATTCGCTGTAACATATGGAACGTCAAGCCCCTGCCAGTACTGACAAAAGTGCCACTGGTTGCGCTTTCGCTATGCGACCTCCGGCGCGAACTCGAACCGGGGCCCAAATGTACAGTAGGTGGGCTAACTCATGAAATGTCAGCCGAAATTTCGAAATGCGTTCCCGCTTAGAAAGTATTAATTAAGTAGACTTGTAAAACTAATCATCTTGCAGCACAATTCCATAATACTCCAGTTATCTCGGGGTGCCGGCTTTCGAATGAACTTCTTTTTGATTGCTCACAAAAACCATACGCTGTAAAAAATGACTACTAAAGTGGCATGCAATTTTCTCATTGATTTTCGATGCCCCTAAAAGTCCGATTATATTTCATGGAAAACGTGCATAAAATATTCATCGTTTTGGTCGTTCGGCAGAAAATTGCGTCATCTTCCAATTTTATACTCGAAGGAGATATATGATTCGATTTTCAAAAACTTTTCCAATTCCAGAATAGTTTTGAATCCGACCTGCCGTTACACTTGCATTCAGAGTTTCCAAACGACAAGCCGTATATTTTCCGCGTACGGAAAACTGGGCAGTTAACTACGGTATTAAGAAAAGACCATATGGGCTTCATGCAATTTAGCAGTGGATTTGAGCATTACTGTTAACTTTACAAGCCACATTAGTGAATGCAGAGACATGACTTTTTAAGGACGGCCATTTCACGGTATTGAAAAATCTCACAATTAGAAATTATACCCTTTCTTTGAGTATGAAATTGGAAAAAGACGTCAATTTTTACCGAAGGAGCAAAAGATTACGTATTTTGGTGCATGTTTCCCATGAAATATAGTTACATTTTCAGAGCATCGAAAATTAATGAGAAAATTGCATGCTAATTAAGTAGCCATTTTTTGCAAAGTAGAGTTCTTGCATGCAGTCAGAAAGCAGTTAAATCGAAAGCCTACACCCTGAGGTAACTGGATCATTATAGAATTTTGCTACATGATGATGATTAGTTTTACAATCCTACTTAACTAACATTTTGAAACGGGAACGAATTTCGAAATTTCGGTTAACATTTCATGAGTTAGCCCACTTACTGTAGCTTGTAAACCCCGTATTCAGTCCTACGGATGATCACCACCGTGCTCCATGTTTCGGTTTTTGTTTGTTTGTTTTGCGTGGGAGGTGGCAGTTGGGTGCATGAGGTGTGTGAGTGTTGACTTCTGGTGGGGTGATGGTGGTGGTGGAGGAGGTAGGGAGTGAGTGAATGTGTGGTGTGGCCGGCGTTTGTCTACCGCAGGTCGTCGTGGATGCGCATGTGGCCGAATAGGTTCATGCGATGCCTGAAAGTGCGAGGACAGTGTGGGCAGTTGAGACGAGCTTGGTGGGTATAGGTGGGTGCTCCAGGCACTGGTTCGCCAGCCTCTGTGCGATGGATTCGCAAGTGACCGATCAGGCCGATGCGTGAGGCGAATGTGCGTGGACAGTGTGGGCATGAGAAGTTGGCGGTGTCAGTGTCAGCTACAGAGGAGGCGTTGGTGGTGGCGCAGATGGACGGTGCGAGGGTGGTGCTGGACATGATGGGCGTGGTTGGTATGTCGGAATTGTGGTCGATTCCGCTCTCGTGGATGCGCATGTGGCCGAAAAGGCTCTTGCGATGCCTGAAGGTGCGAGGACAGTGTGGGCAGTGGAGGCGAGTGTGGTGGGTGTGGGTTGGTGCTTCACGCACTGGTTCGCCAGGCTCTGTGCGATGGATTCGCAAGTGACCGACCAGGCCGATGTGTGAGGTGAAGGTACGGTCGCAGTGAGGGCAGGTGTAGTCCTGATCCTCATCCCTGGAGTCGGGGGAGGTGGTGGTAGTGTCGGTTGCTGTGCGTGGGACAGTCGCCTGAGCGGCCGCCGTTGGAGCAGTGGGCGAGGAGGAGGAGGAGGAGGAGGATGATGATGGAAGTGGTGGGTCAGAAGAATTGTCAGGGTTAGTTGGCGGCGGAGAGGAGGAGGAGGAAGAGGCAGGCGGGGTACGATGGTTGGTGACGTTCGAGAGGCGCAGTTAATCCGAAGATGTCCAACAGGTCCGATTCGAGCCCGGAATGTCCGTCGACATCGAGGACACGTTGGAAGCGGTTGTGCGGGGGCGATGCTTACTGGGCGAAGTTGTGATTTGCGGGCTTCACGTTTCGCGTTGGCGGCAGAGATGCGGTTGGCTTCGTCGGTCGCAGCGCCTGTCTTCACTGTCCTCCTCCTCGGTAGACTACGGTACTGTTCGTTGACGCCCAATATATTGTCCATATCTACTAGGCTGACAAGGAGAGAACTGTTGCCCTGAATCTGCTGGTAACCTGCTTACCGCGTCATGCATGTTGGCATCATTACCGATACATGCTGGTCTGGACCGGAATACAGACACTTTAGGGACTAACTTGTCGTACCTGAGAATCAGTCAGAAGAGTCGGCGTGTCTGACTATCATCCGTAAGAGAAAGAGCAGCAGTCTTCGAGGCTAACCATATACTGAAGTTCAATTGGCAAGCGAACTAGGTTAGAATATTGTACCAAGCCAATAAATCCTACTTAACGGCCGCCCATGACTCAAACTAATTTCGTTGGACACCATCGAATTCACCGCATTGTCGGCGTAAACCCGCCCTCTCTCTCTCTCTCCTCTCTCTTTGATGATGATGATGATGATGAAATACCCCGCCACTTACCGATTGCCCTTGCTGAACACCACCTAATGTCGGTCAGCACTGATCGGAGACCGTACCCACCTCAGTCGGGCGTTCGCTAGGACGCAAAGCGCAGTCTGTAGCAGTTAATCGAAAAAGCGAAATTATTTCGCCATTCGGATAAGTTTTCGGTCTTGTCAAGGACTTGTGATTCCACTGCCGGACGACTGGCGGGCCAGTGCCACGAAAGACGGCCAACTCCGGTCACGTCCACCATCCTTGCCCGTGTTATCTTGGTATATTCTCCTACTGCATGGGTTTACTAGATCACGTGCATAAGTTCGAAAAGTCGTCACACAATTCAGTTACAGATCGCTAACCACGTCGGTTCGACCGTCGCCACCGTCACTGTGTCCTACAGCAGGGTGGGTGCAGCGACTATGATTTACGCGTGATCCGCCGCGCTCCCTCATTTCCCATTCTCCTGGGCCTGCGGTCAAGACACAGTCAGGGCAGTCGGAGACGGGATGGAATGCGGTGGCTGACATAATTAAATGGCCCGTGTACGCGTTCAGCAAACGTCTGGGCTGCTCTAAATGAACCAGGTTTTCGCACAATCAAGACAAAGGGGCGCCTAAAATCCAAAATACGCACACAGACAACCCCGGGAACTCGAGATTTAGCTCCCAACTTCCGACGTTCGCTAAGAACGAAGTACAGTTCGAACACGAGTGATGAGGGGCTCAACACTAGGATTTAAAAAATACTGTGGTTAAATGTGCAAGAACTGCGCAGGTAAGGTAAACGAGCGTTCCGGATACATGTCAGGACTTTTTGAACCGGCTCTCCAAGCACTGCGATGGATTCACCGGCAGCCGACTAGGCCGATACTTGATTTGAATGTGCGCCTGCATGTGTTCTAGCGGTGTGCCCAATGCTGTGAATAGCAGAATATGCGACTAACCGAGAAGGACGCCGGCTTGTGCGTTAAAGATACCAGACTGCTAGTTGTTGACTGATCGCTTCGAAAAATCTTGGCGGGTAGGGCAGGAAGTAGAGTTTCTGAGCCACACTGTCTCTGCAATCTGAAACTGAATTTTACAAAAGGGATTGGGTATCCATTGAGTCGGGAAACTGATAACAAGTTAGTTGGTTCTTAAGTAAATAATCGCTATTGCAGTAACAATAGGCCCGGTGGAAAAGGGTAAGGATGCAACTTCTTTGAGTTTGCCCATACAAACCAACTACGCGGCCATGCCTACAAAATCAGAAATGAGCGCACGCGGTTAGACCGTCGAAAATTTTCTTTCAGCCAGCGGGCTGTCAGATCGTGGAACTCGCTGCCAAGCGAGATAGTGACGGCTGACACAATTTGTATGTTAAAAGAAAACTTGCTCGCATAGTTTTCGACAGAAATCGGGTTTTACAGAATGACTACGCACAGCCAGTTTTGTAAGAAACTGTCATATACAATCCCTCCGCACTAATTTACAGTGATCTTATGCACTACCTTATCATTACGATTGAACTATGACCCGATCACATCGTAAATGCCTGCAATTTTATTTTTGAGTACGAATCTGCGAAAGCACTGTACATAAATAGGGTCATCAAGGGCTCTGCCTCTAACCCTCCAAATACATACATACATATAAACTTCTTTTATGGGCCGCAGGGTGGTTGCCCAAGGGGCAAAAAATGTCAGTTGCCTCAATCCATGTGCTCACTGCTCTTGCGATTATGTTGGCCATACTTGCCAACGACTTGTGACCAACAATGACGGACACACTGGCCATCCTCTGACGGGACGACGTGTCACTTGTGATTACATAAGCCCTTGAGTGCGATCAGTACTTTAATTGGAAGGGGACTGAAATGATCGCCAGTGCTAACACCCGACAGGCGTGAGAATTTGTTGAAGCTTGCCACACCAACACAAACACCATTGATCGCCGTGTTGATTTAAACGTTCACCACGAGGGTCTTCATTCATGACTAACTGGATAGCGCCCACGCAAAGACAACAGCCGCTAAACCATGCTCGGCCATGCGAAATCTCATGAATCCGACACTCCCCCGGCACTGTGAACCACGACCCAAGCTCCCAACCCCGGTTTTTAACTTCCGGTATTTACATCTCTTTACACGCTCTTCATCTTTTTCTATGGGCATATACTTTTCGATGTGACCCCTGTCTCCCCAAACGCTCTAGTTCGATAATCCAGTCCCCAGTCATCCATTTCCTCTGAAAACGGGTTGGTGTAACCAACTTGAAAAGTCCCGAGTACAAATCGATTGTTTAGCAGACCTGTAGTGGTCCGACTCCCGACACCCGTTACAACTGTGCGCATTTTGCGAGTACTTGCGCTTGCGCACAAATGACAGTTTGGCTCTCAGCCGACCACTGCTGTCCAACCCGTCCACTCATTTTCACAGCCAGCTTTCGATGAAGGCGCTGTGATGCATTTCCCGCCCTTACTTGGGCCACCGATCTGACGGCGTCGGACGTGTTCTCTCGTCAGGCTGTCAAAGTATTCCAATCGGTTCTTCTATATTTCTGTACGGAAGACATTATCCTCTTAGCTGGCGTCCACCACGTTCTCCATTTGCCCAGGACTGGCCTGAATTTCGTAGTGGTAATGCCATACACAGCTGACATTTATTTCTGTCCTGTCGATGCCCGATTATAATCCATTATATACCGCCACATGCAGGCCAGTCCTGCCCGCATTCTTCTGTTTTTGCTTTTTTACCGAGGGTTTTTTTCTCCTGTAAAATTAATCCAATCATTTTTAAATTTTCGTGAGGAGTTTTTTTCACCCATCGCTAACCATTTTTCTTAATGGAATACTATTTCAAAAACTATGAATTGCACTATGTACAGAGTTTGCCTGCCTCGTCTAAAATTCGCATGTTAATTTATTTTTAATGGCTTTGATGTGACCCCGACGGGTCTTTAATAAACAATTATTATTGTCTGGCAAAAAATCCACGACAGGCCCATTCCTTGCATAATATCATCTGAGAATGCACACCACCTCGTGTTTCATTGTATGTGTGTGTTCTTAACAAACCTGCCGTGAAATTAATGGCGTTAAGGAGACCCTGGCCAGTACGACCTCCAGGCCGCGTTTGAAGCAGTGGGCAAAGAAGTTGGACGCTGGCTGAGTCGATATCGTGTTCTGTACAAAGTGCTAGAATACCGATCGTAAAAAAGTTGACAGCCGGACGAAAGTGTACTCCCAACGCTGAGAAAGCGGCGTCCCAAATGAGAATGATGAATTCGTCTCAGCGCTCTGAGCGAGAACACGTCTGTGTTAGTTTTGAAGTTGCTTGGCCAGTTTGGAGAGCACTGATTGCCCAGAATCAGACTGCCCATGACACGAACTGGAGGTGCAGAGCTGTAACAGGCGTTCGGAAGAGGCGTACAAAAAACTGTTCCAGTGGTTGACGTTCACCAGTGCCCCATATCGTAGGCACGACTGTAACCGACTTGACCGTATTATATATAAATCCTGCAAGTCACAGCAGAATAGAAGATGTGAGTGGACATAGTCAAATTCAATTATATTTTCCCTTCTCTAATGGAGTACCAATAATATATTTACAATTGCGGCAAGTCCATTATTCAGAGGTGATGTAAATCAATTTGAAAGCCAACTTACGGCGCGGAAATGCAAAACTCTCCTCTATGGACGTCGACTACGTATGTCGTATCAGGTGAACAATTGACTGATCGGGTTTCATACGTAAATGAATTACAGCGTTCACTTTTCACATTATCTAGCTTTCTTCGTTATTATATCAGCTGTACATTCTTCTGTAATTTGTACTTTTTTTTAACCTATATTAACTGTTTGTACAGTCAACTGTTCCTCGATATGCCCCTAAGCCTTCTACTTCTTCACAGCGCTTAAGCGTATTTCATTACTGTATGTGATTTGTAGTGTTTTTAGACTATTATAATAAGGTAAAAGTCGTGCGTTGAAAAGTTGTGGACGTACGATATAAACCTATCCCCTCAGGACGGAGGGTTTGGCCGTAATGGCTCTTTGTCCATGTGGCCGCACTAGCACTCCCACTTAGGTGGAATCCTAGTAGACTACTTCTGGTGTCTAGTGCACATTGGCGGGTCGCTTAGCTTTGTGGGCCACTGTACAGTATTTCTTTCTCGATCCTCCTTGCATGGGTTTGACGATTGGCCCAGATGGGTGAAGGAGAGAATGCGTCAGATAATGCGCAATTTGTTTATCACCATTTTTTATGTCATCGGCACGCAGCGCACGCCATAGTTCGAGACGGACGACCTGAAATGTCTTATTAACTCAGCCTGCGTCAGGATTCATTTTTATTTGTTTGGTACATATCCCGTTTATCCGCATTTCCCACTAAGTCAGTGCCGTTTGCTTTTCTATAAATTTATTGCATCGGGAGGAAGTATCCCAATGAGGCTCTTATGGATTTCAATCCATAATAGTTTTGGCCAATCTAAATGAATACCTGGATTCGTATGTCTTAGGGTTTTAAACAAAGGCTCCGTTTGCATTACGACTTCCGTAGATATTCGCCGATTGCTCCGAAGTACAACATTGTTTTCATTAGCGTCACATGTTCAACAGGAAGAGGAATAAAGATAAGCTTATCTACTGAATATTTAATAAATTCCACGCTTTGACGAGCACTGTGAGATAAAACATTTCATTGTGGAGAGCTGCGGGGTATAGTTTGAAGCATAACTTCTTAATATACCTTCCAAAACGTAATATATTAATTGAAAATCAAATATCTTTGAATAAGATCCACTTTCTGCTAGGAAAATTGTGTATGTAGTTATATTCCGAAATTCTACAGTTCCCACTTCTTTTACTGGACTGGAAACATCGCCGGCGCAGACAATACAGGCGATTTGGGTTACAGGCCAGCTAGTAGGTTTAAATATCCTGAGGCTACGAAATATTGTGCAGAAACTATTTCATTGTTTTTATGGGGCGCAAAGCTCTTGATTATACTAAAAATAGGTGACTGTCTATGAAATCGTCCCATACAAATGTCGTTATATCAGCAATTTGGACAGTTGGTTTTCATTGATATTTTGGCAGATTTTGACTAATTCATATTGACCCAACTGTGAAAAACTCGGCGCATCGGTGGGATTCGAACCCACGCAGTAAAGGGGAGGCTTTAGAGCAGCCAACGCTCTAACCACCTGAGCTACGAGGCCCCGCCGGACGACGCGAGTTTAATCACATTTGGGTCCAGTTACCCGCCCAACCTACTGCAACGTCTGGAATCCACCAAATCTGATACAGTAAGTTGACTGCCCAAGCAGGATTTCCTAAGTAATTCACCTAGAATCCACCAGATAACTACCAGGCTCGCGTAATTCATTGATATTTTGGCACATATTGACCAATTCATATTGACCGGCGGGGCCTCGTAGCTCAGGTGGTTAGAGCGTTGGCTGCGCTAAAGCCTCCCCTTTACTGCGTGGGTTCGAATCCCACCGAGGCGTCGAGTTTTTCACAGTTGGGTCAATATGAATTAGTCAAAATCTGCCAAAATATCAATGAATTACGTGAGCCTAGTAGTCATCTGGTGGATTCTAGGTGAATTACTTAGAAAATCCTGCTTGGGCAGTCAACTTACTGTATCAGATTTGGTGGATTCCAGACGTTGCAGTAGGTTGGGCGGGTAACTGGACCCAAATGTGATTAAACTCGCGTCGTCCGGCGGGGCCTCGTAGCTCAGGTGGTTAGAGCGTTGGCTGCGCTAAAGCCTTCCCCTTTCTGCGTGGGTTCGAATCCCACCGAGGCGCCGAGTTTTTCACAGTTGGGTCAATATGAATAGTTGGTTTTATTCCTCCAAATCGCCTGATAGAGTTTTCTCTATGTTAGGGGGCGCTCACCGATCTCTAAGCTGTTGTTATCAGAAGATGCCTGCAAAGCCAAAGGCGTTTTTCGGTCATTATAGACTTGTTGAATCTATTAAATGTATTACTTTCAGAGGCCGTGGTGTGCAAGCATATATGCACTAGATCCCTCACCATTGTCAAAGTATTTTCTTGGTCTTGGGCTAATCTTTAAAGCAGCCGTTAAGAATAAATAATCTATACATTACCCTAGTTTATCTCCAAAAGTAGTTGCATTTTCTATTGTTATTTACAATATCGCACCATCGCCGCCTCTGTTGCCACTGCCGTTCGGTTGTCTAACTGTCGACCTTCCAGGATTCGGTCCGAAGGGTCGGGACAGGGCTTTCACCACAGCCTTACTGGCTGCTGTGTAAACGATCAATTTGTTTACTTAACCCTCACTCCCGAGACTCACGTCTCGGGGATAGCGTCATTTGTCGGTTGAAGTGTGTCCCACTCCAATGCCTCAGAACTTACTTTATACTCCAGATTAGCAGACGGCTGCTGTCGTTCTTCCGACTCTTGTTCATACGTCTCTGCCAGACTTGCGTGCCCGTTGGCCACTGGATCTAGCACAAAGCCAGTCAATATCATAGTGCAACCTCTCAGGCCCTCCTCATTTGCTTCGAAAGGAGGAGGAGGACCACCTTGTGTTGGCACGCACTCCTCAGCTCTAGTGCACCCGAACCTGGATTCCAAAAGCGCTTCACCATTTAACTGTACTTCCAACATCTTAACAAAACACTCTCTGGCAACCGGCGTGCTTCATCATAACTCCCCGCCGTATTATCGTCTTTATGCACTATGTGCTTAAGATAAATATTATACTCTTTTGCCTGTATCCATGTTATTATTCCCCAGTTTGTGTGTGCCTCTTATTGGCCATCTGCGTTTTCTGGACTGTTACTCACTGTTCAAACCATTTTTCCTGTCGACCTTTTTGCTGAATGCGTAGAACCAGGTTAGGCCAGAACGATGCTTGTACCTTAGCGGCCTGGGTATGTCTGGGAAACCGTTTCTACTAATCCGCTTATTACGTCGCCCTCATACGGCGACACGATGTAGAGAATCTCCAGTAGGGTTATATTTTTTACCGTTTTGTTGCTCCTCGGAACCATGTGCTCGGAGATAAACTGGGCGGACCAATATTTTTTTATGGAATACATTTTCTTGCTGTATGCTAAACACCTAGTCACTTTACATTTTGTCTTAACGATGAAAACGCTTGGAATAGGTCGTATTTCAACGGGAACTTCACATACATTGCCGCTTCGTTGGCAACGCGTTGTGGCAAGTTGTAGTCCATCTTGCAACGCGGTTTTAATTAAGACTAGTGTCATGTTTTTTTACAAGGCCTGATGCCATGACTTTAGTTCAACGTCCCCAAGAGGAATACCACCACGAGGCGCTTATCTTTGGTCTCCAAGTAATTTTCGCGAATTTCGGAACGACATCCCAAATTTCTTACTTATTTGGAAGTATGTATGTAATGCCGTTTTTAGATTTTTGAAGCGCATGCACCATTTTCAATAGTTCCTTCGTTGACTGATCAGTTCATAGAGTTCATTTAAAGTGAAAAATCTGAGATTCAGTCCACAGTTTTCTCCCATAAAATCTGCATAGTACTTCGGATTTCCTCGAAATTCCCTTATCTCTGCTGCTGTCGTCGTTATCCCAGTGAAGACCCATCGCCTGCACCTGGACGTCATGACTAATTGTTTGTTCCTCTTCGGTCGTCGTCTTGGTACAAATAAAATCGTTTATCTGACAGGTTATAGATGTGGAATTAGTTTTGTGCGGGTCCTTATAGGAAGTGTGGAGTACGCTCGTGGGTAGTATTAACTGTTCTTTTTTGTAGCGTACTGTTAACGACTCTGTCCTACAGAAAGTCATGCAGCCTTGGCGAGACTCGCGACAATCAGGTCGTGCCTGTAAAGGTGTATCATAGAAACCAAATCCACATTTGATCTGCCAGTCTGAAATATGAAACTTTTAGTGGACGGACTCTTTTTGGACACTTCGTATCTGCTGCCAAGTTTGTCGATTATGTGTTTTACGTCGTGTATTTAATGTGCAGTGAAGGAGAAGAGTCGAGTGCCGGAACACTTAGTTTATGAGCTTTCAGACTCGTGCAGGAGTGCATCGTCAGAGGTAGTAGCAGTAACAGAACAAACGACAGTTTTAAGGCATGTAGGCCAATCATCGACCGACGGCGCAAGACTGGAGGTGAGAACACAGGGCTCTGTACTCCGGCGCCATATCGATAAACCGATTGGCCGAGTTCTCATCCGAAGCACAGGCTTCAATCAATTCTCGACCTGTTTTGTTTCCGGCGTGGGCGACTATTTTGGCGCCGGCGTACAGAGCCCTGCGTAGTCACCTCCAGTCTTGCGCCGTCGGTCGATGATTGGCCTACATGCCTTAAAACTGTCGCTTGTTCTGTTGCTGCTACTGCCTCTGACGATGCACTCCTGCACGAGTCTGAAAGCTCAGGACAATAAACAAAGTGTTCCGGTGCTCGACTCTTCATCTTCACTTATGCATACACCTGGAATTCCAAATTTCACTTTGATTCGTTAATGTGCAGTTTCCGTTGCAGAAACCACGCACTATCGTTCTTCCGGTAAGCCCTACTCTTGGTGCCCTATGCATCTGTACTTTGCAAACAAACCACCGTTTTGTCCGATTCAGTCTTAGCACGTTGGATAACTGTTTCCTCCCTCCGGCCTTTTGCTCGTGGTAACTTCTGTCAACTGTAAAACTGTTGTACAACCTTTTTTTTCAGTAGTATGGTCCGTGTGCTTCTAAGGCAGCTGCGCTCTCTCTCCTCGGAGTCTGTGACTTCTTTGACGCAACGTCTGCAGCGAACAGTGGATAGTTGGCCGGCAGATCCCTCAAAAGGCGAGCGCGACGTTCGTATCCACCTGCGGAGGCGTTGTCAAGAGCTTGTGATGGCCCTGCAGCAGGATCCAGTCAAGACCACCCCGTTGGTGGAGGAGGAGATTGTCAGCCTAACACGCCTCATGCAGAATCATCATCGTGGCCAGCATGGGGTGCCCAGCGGGCTGGGGGCCAGCGAGCAGGTCGGAGGGGCTCCCCTTATCGGGGCTACAGGACTCAGTCTTCCCGAGATCTCCAGGATCCTGAACGCTGGGGATCAGAATATTCCAAAAAGGTCTCTGTGGTCCAGGGTGTGGCGCTTTTTCAGTTAAAGTGACTTTATTACCCTCTAGCCTTTCTCAGGACTCAAAAAGTGGCAAATTTTCTAGGGCAAGCCCCTGTTTTGAAAGTCGCCCCATTACCTTTTTAGGGATCCCCACCATTGATAAATTCAGTTTCACACATTCCACTTTTGTATAAAATGGGTGGGTTTTCAGAACTGTTTATCGGCGCATCGTTTATTTCCATTCTGTGAGAAAGAAAACCATCGACTGCAGCATGCATCCCAGAACGTGATGTTGCGGTCGAGTTCCCCTTCCTAACGGACTGAGTGCTTGGTTGGACCAAGTGTAACGACAGATTTTTATCACGTCACTAGCACTGTCATAGTCTCTAAACATCCCTATTTGCCTTAGTATGGTAGCACGTAGACTGTCTCCTATCGGATCTCGCGGCGAGCTATAAGCGGGAGTTCATCTATGGGCATTAGTCCATTGTGTCGCAGAGTATTCAGACCTCTCGGAGTTAGGTGCACTCATTGCGATGTGAGGCATTTCATTGACCTTCTCAGCATTTAATTTTAGGTTGAGCTCGTAGGAGGCGATAAGCAAGCGCACTGTAATCAGCATTGCTATAGTCTCGGGCGAGGTCTTGCTCTAGTAATCGTGGAGTACATAAACTGGGCCTGACATGTAGCGTAGCTAGACTGAACCTGTGTGGTAGTATAGTGCGTGACCGATCTCATGAAATGTTGGGCGAAATTCTGAAATGCGTTTTCGATTAGGAATGATTACTTAGATGGGGTTGCAATATTGATCATCATGAGGACAAATCCTATAGTATTTCAGACTCGCCAGGATGTCGGCTTTTGATTGAGCTTCATTTCGCTCCCCCTGCAAAAACCACAGTCGGTAAAAACTGACTACTTAAGTAGCATGCATTTTTCCTACTGATTTTCGATGGTCATATAAATCCAAATATATTTTATAGAAAACATGCACAAAATATTTTTTTCTTTTACTCCTTTGGTTGAAAACCACATTGTCTCGACATTTTATACCCGAAAAAGTGTATGTTTAGGTTTTAAAAAATTTTTCCAATTTCCGAATAATTTTGAACCTGATCTGCCATTGCATTAACGTTTGGCGATTTCAGTCTACAAGGTGCACGCTTTCCGCGTAAGGAAAATCACATATTCCTTTATGCCTTTAAGAAGGTACCACATAGAGTTCCTAAAATTTCTCAGTGGATTCGGAGTGTGTTGTGCATTTGATTAGGAGCATTGTAAACGGACATGTGCGGTCCTGTATGCATGGACATCGCACGGTCTTAAAACATTAGGAACTTTTTTACAACTTAAATATACACTTTCTTCGGGTATCACCTATCAAGACAATGTGATTTTCTACCAAAGGAGTAGAAGAAAGCATATCTTTGTGTATGTTTTCTATAAAATATATTTGAATTTACAAGACCATCGAAAATCAATAGGAAAAATGCATGCTAAAAAGTGCGGTTTCTGCAGGAGGTCAAAAAGGAGTGCACCCAAAAGCCGACATCCTAGTGAGTCCGAAATGCCATAAGTTTATGCTGCATACCTATCATTATTACAACCACACCATAGTAATCTTTCCTAATCGAAAACGCATTTCAGAATGTCGCCCAACATTTCATGAGATCGGTGACGCATTGTACAGTCCTGTCGGGCACCAGCAATGATGACGACAGTAAGTCGTCTTATCTGAACAACGTGTGCATGCTTTGCGTAAGTTCGAATGTGGTTCAGGAGGGCACTTGTGAAAATCATCGCGCCAACTTGGATTGAGCGGATGCAGAATCCCGTCTTGTACCCATTATGAAAAAGAAGTATGTTCGAATGGTCCCAGTCCCGGAGACAGAAACAGTGTGACCCAATCATTGAAATGTCTGCACTTTCAGAAGTAGTACCAAGGCAGTCCTTTCAGACTCCAGTCTATAGTATCTATCTAACTGCGTCTCCGTTGCTCCAATCTCAGCGACAGAAGACGACGCCCAGTTGACGTCAAGGTGGGTTATGGCCAGCCGGGTTGCAACAGCGATGGATCCGACCATATGCATTAAGAAAGGGCTTGTTGAGCTATTCGGCGAAGTAATGTCGTGGACGGACAATTGTCCACTCACTGACGTCATTCGGAGGCCTTCCGTCCATGACTTGGATGGCGCCAGAATCGTTGAACGGAAGCCGAATAAATTAGCCCAATTCTCTTATTTCGCCTAAGTTCGATTTCCTCCTGATGTCTGCTATGTGCTGCTGTGGCAGTCAAGGATGTGAGTTCGTCATCCGATCGTTGAGCCTCAGTCATGAGCGTCAAGTCTATGGCGTCTGTTATGACGGAAGCCATCTCGATTCTTGAGAGTATCAGCAACCACATTTTCCTTACCATGGACATGTTGGATGTCGCAGGAAAACTGTGAGATGAAATCTCGATGACGAATTTCACGGGGCGAGTTTCAATCGGAGAGGCCCTCAGTGCAAAAACGAGTGGCTTGTGATCTGTTAGAACGACTAATTCGCGACCCTCGAGGAAATGTCGGAAGTACCGGATGGATAAGTAGACGGCGAGAAGTTCACGGCCGAAGACACTGCAGCCGGTCTCTGCTGGTCTGAGCTTCTTTGAGAAGAAAGCCAGAGGCTGTAGAACACCACTAACAGTTTGCTGAAGTGATGCACCAACGGCAGCGCTGGAAGCGTCTGTCATGAGAGTTAGTTGGGCATCAGCGCGGGGGTGGGCAAGCAGTTTTGCGCGCGCAAGTGCGGCCTTGACGTCATTGAAGGACTTAACGGCCTCATCAGTCATCACCAGTGTCTTCTTAGAGTGGGTCAACAGGCTGTTGAGTGGCCTCAGTATGGTGGCACCATGGGGAAGAAAACGGTGATAGTAGTTCACCATCCAAAAGAAACGGCGTAGTTGGTTGATGGTTGTCGGGACGCGGAGCATTGATATGGCCGAAACCCTTTCTGGGACGGGCATTATCCCATCAGAGTTCACTTTGTGACCCAGGAAGATTAGACTGGGGACTCCAAACTCACATTTAACAGCATTAATTACAACGTCGAAGGAGTCGAGTCGTTCGGAGAGTTGTCGAAGATGAACCTCGTGTTCAGCAGCGCCAGAGCTAGCCACCAGCAAATCATCAGTGAAGGCGTAGACGAAGTCGAGACCGCGCAGAACCTGATCAATGAATCTCTGAAAGGTTTGAGTGACATTCCTCAGTCCAAAGAGCATACGAGTGAATTCAAATAACCCAAGGAGAGTGGTCACTGCAGTTGGACCGGAGGTGTCCCCAGTTCTAGCCGGCGGAGGTGGCCGTGTGTCAACGGCTGTCGCGGCCATCGTTCGACAAAACGGAGTCAGAGAAAAAGGGGGACTGGAGCGGCTGCTACATTGCTGCTATAGGTTTCAGTGGATTCCCAATAGGCATATCGTCTGAATATGCGGTGCTTCGAAGTTTGGATCTCCGGGGGTTTTGGCGTCCAACCCATCTCTTCGTTTGCGGCTGCTCTGACCAGAGTGAACATCTAAGTTATCTCCGTAGTGGCATTCCTGACTAATGTGCACTCATGCAAGCGAGGCAGACTGACGTCAATGGTGCCCCGGTGAGGACGGTCGGCTAGGTAACAGCATGGGAGTTCGCAAACATCTAACTTTCTGCACATAGTTGCTTACAGTGCATGACCGATCTCATGAAATGTTGGCCGAAATTCTGAAATGCGTTTTCGGCTAGGGAGGATTAATAAGGTGGCGTTGTAAGATTAATGAGTATGTGGCATACTCCTGTAGTATTTTGGACTCGCCAAGATGTCCGCTTTTGACTGCACTTCTTTCTGACTTCCCGCAGAAACCGCACTCGGCAAAATGACTACTTAAGTAGCATGCATTTTTGCACCTTTATTTTGGATGGTCTTATAAGTTCAAATAGATTTTATAGAAAACATATGCAAACTATGCTTTCTTTTACTCGTTTGGTAGAAAAACACATTGTCTTCACACTTGATACCCGGAAAAGTGCATATTAAGTTATAAAAAAGTTTCCCAATTCCCGGATAATTTTAAGCCCCATAAACCGTTGCATTAGCGTTTAGCAATTTCAGTCCACTAGTTTCATGCTTTCCCCTTAAGGAATATCATATATTCCTCTATGCTTTTAGAAGGATACTATACAGATTTCATAAAATTTTGAAATGGATACGGGATATATTGTACACTTCACGAGGAACATTGGTAAACGGACACGTGCGATGCTATACATATGGACATCGCACGATCTTAAAAACCTCATAATTAGAAACTTTTTAAAACCAAAAGATAACCTTGCTTGACGTATAAAATATAAAGACCATGCGGTTTTCTACCAAACGAGTAAAAGGAAGCATATTTTGGCATATGTTTTCTATAAAATCTATTTGAATTTATAAGACCATCCAAAATAAATGTGCAAAAGTGCATACTACTGAAGTAGTCACGTACTGTATGTGAACTTTGAGGCGGGTATGCCGTTGCGCTCACCAGCAAATAGTCAACTATAATCACGAGGGACAGTCGAGGAACGGCCTGGTCAACAAAATGTAATAAATGTGCACGACGATCCTCCTGTCCCATTTAACACCGAATCAGTAAGTGGATTCAGCGTTGAAACTTGGCGTCAGTCATAACCTCCCTATTACCCCAGCGAAACAGTCGAACCAGCCGCCATCATCGCATCATGAGCTAGTGGCAAGATTCCCAGGACGCGACGGATCATTGGGTTGCCTCTGCCGGTTTGCGCCTCCCAATCTCGAGTAGCCATTTGAGGTCGCTGACAGCCATCACAGAACTCCTTCCCTGCATACCCGTTCGAATTGAGTTGGCAAGTAGACAACAACCACATGTTTCGCTGGCGATTGCACACCATATGAAGCGAGTCGGGTTCTGTATTATGAGTACCGTGAACACGACGCTGTGTATTTCGAGTTCTTGTGGCTGTCAAGTATGTGAGATCAACTTAAACCACACACAATAAGTTCGTTTCGTCTAATGTCAGCAGTCGGGGAACTGTGAGAAATAGTTTATTCTGTACACAGGGCAGGTTGCCGTAAGTTGGCTGTTTGCTTGCAACAGAGATAAGCGTCCGTTCACGGAGAGCGTCAGTCGCGGTATGTAGTTTACGCGAGAGTGAATGCCTGTGCCAGTAGGTTGGGGTGACTGGTTGAGTGTTGGTCATGAGATGGGACGGATTAGGGGGACGCATAATCACAGGGGCTCACGGGTATCAAGCCAGGTCGTCCGACGCGCGTGAGGTGATAATAGTTTGTGAGGGCGGCCGGGAGTCACTGCAGCTGGACAGGAGGGGTCCCAGTTCTAGCCGGCGGGGGTGGTCGTGCGTGAGCGGCCTGGCAACGATCGTCGCGGCCATCGACCGACAAAATGGAGCCGGAGAAAAGGGGGACTGGAGCGGCTGCTACATTCTCGTACCCACCACTAGTAGAAGTGGTCGCCGTTACCCGATTGGTGCACTTGCTTTTGCCACTGATTCGTACAATAAAACTTCTGACGGACAAGCACCACCAATGCCGCAGTCAGGTGAGGGGAGTTAATACTCTCGGCAACACGACTTGCCACTCTCAGAAGAACGGTATCAGTCTACAGGCCGTGTTTCGGGCGCATAGATTCGCACCTGGAAGTCGTCAACTTTTCTCAGAGTTTCGAGAGGTCAGTTTCGAGTTCCCACTCATCAGTTAGGCGGCGTCCTGGACCTTGAGGCGACGGGTGGCGCCTCATTAGATGGTGGACAGCATTCGCATATTGTTCTGTTGCCTTCTTTTTCCACAGGCAAGTGGATCATCAGTTCGGTGTACAACCGCATGTTTGCCTACCTGTCTGACTCATGAGATCCACTGTAAGCTTTCGGTGAAGGTCGTCCTATTGGGCGCAGCACCCAGAAGCGTCAAGCAGCACCCGATCGGACGTGTCTCGTCTTCCCTGCGGTTTTTTCTCCCGCAGATGGTATTCACGCCCTTGAATATGTTGTTGAAGGTTGCGGTACCGGCGGACTTATTTGCAGGAATTCAACATGCGAGGTCCCGGATGGGTGTCGAGGTAACAAAACTGGACTTTGTGTGTGTCCTAAAAGAAGACAATAGTCTCTGTTTTCGTGTTAGGGCACTGAAAGCTGCGATGTCGCTGAGTTAGAGGACTTGGGGCAAGGGTTTTTTTACCAATTAGCGAAGCAAGGAGGAGGGTCGGCTTCTGATCAACTGGGACACACGGTTTGCAATGAATTTCATAAGAACCTCTGACTGGCTTTATGACTAATCGAGAAGCAAAGCCTAGGTTCTTCCAGACCCCTATTATACGAGATGTCTGCGCAGACGCGAGGCGTGGCCCATTAGTCTAGAAGTCGGCGACGTTCGATCGATGGCCATTGTACCCAGCCTACTCAGCCCATCTACGTGGGCGTAGTCGACTGTCTGCATCCTTCCTACTTTTCCCAACTAATGGGTCTCCGACCTCGTGAGCCCATTACTAGTGCTCCTGCGGGTGAATTCGATCCTCTCGGCCACACGCGATCATGCTTACGCCAACTGGACCAGCAACTCGGACTGCGCATGTTGAGGACGAGGATAAGCATGCGTTAATACCTCACGCGCGCGCGACCGTTCTGTCCAACCTTCCCGTTCGCACTATGGATCTCTTCAGTAGGTGATGACCCGCAGTTACGATTATATCAGTGCGTTTGTGGCGTTTGCACACCGAACGCCAGGTTACGGTGACGAGTCGGCCATATTAAGGACTGGAGCAAGATGCTCTCACGGGTGTATCCCGTCTGACGATGGTGCTGTCTCCAATAGAAGCGAAGAGACGAGTCCCAGGAAGCAGTCGTAAAGAAGGAATAAGAGCTTTATTCGCCTGACGTTCCGGATCCCTGCTCGAACACATCGTCAGAGACAAAGGCAGATACAATGGTCGAGCAATCATCACACCAAAATCCAACACATGTGATAAAATTGCGGCAATTATTATGCGAATGTCGGCCATCAGCCATCCCACCAAGTGCAACGATCCCTGATGAAGGGGGGGGGGGAGCCACGGTAGCATGGTGTCTGCATCCTATAAATACTACAGCCCCTTGTGCATGAACCACCCGTATCGTCTTCTGTCTCTGATGCTGTGTTCGAGCAGGAATCCGAAACGTCGGACTAATAAAGCTCTTGTCCCAGCGATCGTGTCTCCTTCTTTACGGGTGCTCTCCCCGGTCACTGGTTGTTTCTAGTTGAAACGGAGACATGTGCTGCGGCTAAAATACACCACAATGTTTTGGTTAGAACGGGGGGGAGGCGGTTGTTTCCCATCTGCGGCTCCAAAGAAGGCGATCAGGAACACAAGTGAGCAACAACTGCCCCCTAATTGCTAGCGCGACTATTTGGCTGTGTGCTGTGGTGACCTGGTAACGGAACGGTTCAGAGCATCGACTAACCCAAATCCAACTCCGACCGACGACGGCGTGGAGCTGGCTAACAGAAGACATGCGTTTGCCTGTTAGATGTCCATTTGCGTGCCTGGCGTGCCAATCGGCACATCCTCATCCGGATGGATTAAATATGTAACCACTACTCATGATTTGTCTAACTTCCAATGCAGAGCCGGTTGAAGCAGGAAGTAGTCACCAACACCAGGTGGTCACTGCCAGTCTTCTATGGAAACAGCTCGTAATTTGTTCGTCATGAGTATCTGAGTGCCTCCATATTCACCAGCCAGTGTGGAGGTCGCGTAATTAAACACGGCTGAGGTGTCCAACAGGAGGGTGTCCTCACTTTCGGGCACCCCAATCTCTGGGATGGCAAGTTTAGGCGCGTAACACCCACGTTGTATCAGTGGAGATTTACTCATGCCCTTGAAGACTGGCGCCAAGGAAATCTTCCGCGCTCCAGTCTCTGTTGTATTTTATTCGTTCACGCACAAGTCACCGTCCCTGCCCTCACCCGGCTGGGAGCGCATGGCGGACATCGTCGAAATCGCCGGTCGAACCGTCAGACGTCCGAGGTTGCGTTTTCCAGTTTATTTGCCAATCTACAGCGCAAGTGAGCCAGGGTTTGTGGAGAGCATAAGTTCCCGCGAACTGCTCAACAGAATCCACAAAATAAGTTTCGAGCTTTGCTGTCAGGGTCGCTTGGTTGACTTTGATGCAGACCATTTCCAACCAACTCTGCTACTGCGGCTTGTTGTGGTAGGTGGAGGACCTTTTGTCGGTTCGTAGTCGGCCTGCTGTTGCGACATCTTCCAATTAACATTTTTGTCCTCTGGCCTTGCTGAATGCTCCTTTTCTTACGAGACCTCGGTCTAGTACAATAAAATCG